GGATAGAGAGACCGGGATGGTTTTTAATGTGAAGACAACAACAACAACAACAACATAGTTGCCAGCTGCCTTCTCTGTCTGCATTGTAGCCTTAACATCTATATCTATCGACAGCGATTCATGAGATAAAGACACACACATGTGGAGGACACCTGTCGGAATATATAACCAACCATTTGTGCACATACAAAGTACAGGAAGATTGATTCATCGGGGTAGCTTGCCATCGGTAGAAGTGGCGAGTAAAGCACCGAGGAGATTTGTTTCTTCCGAAGTCCATGGCCGCTTGCCGAGGGAAGAGATTGGGGAGCCTCCGGCTCGCCTCTCTCGACCCTCTGGTCACTCTTTCTCTACCACTCTCCTCGTTACATCTCACGAAAGGAAATAGCCACCCTTGGCAGTGGGAGAATACTGCACGAGCACCGGCCTCTGTCTCTGACAGGGGCTATAGTGTCCTCACACACGCACATCTCTGGGCTGGCCGATGGATCGGAGAAACGTCGTAAAAGTGAAAAAAGACCCCAGGGCACCCTATTACCCTGCCATCTGTTGTGCCCCCACAACGAAGCCAACCACGCGCCGCACACACCCAGACACAGAGGACCAGTTCATGTGGGCGCAGGGAGCTTCATGTCGAGGATGCCGGCATGAGTTGCTGGGTTGGAAATATCCTGGCGCTGGGTTCCTCTCATCACGCAGGGCGCTCCCGGTTGCTGCACCCGTAAAACTCCGCAATGCCCGGTAGGATAACACACCGGATCGACATATATCCGCCGCGTGTTTTGTGTAGACTACTACTGCTGTACTTCATGCACTGCTGTAGTGAGCGGTGTACCCCAGAAGTTGAAAAGGTCTGCAGCAGCCGTACACTCTTTCAACGAGATCGGCAGACAATTGTACTGCTGTTCATCGAACCCTCACGTTTCCGTGCTTAGGCCGGCTTCCAATGCCCAGCCGATCCATAAAGCGCAAGTACTGCTGTAGAGCCACCTGCTCCACCTTCGCCGGCATTTAGATGCTATTATCGTAGATACCACACCCGCTTGGACCGAAATTTTAAATCCCTTGTGCTCCACAACGAAGTGGATGCCAATCAACTGATGCGGACAGCTCTCGACTACGACGGTTCTGACGCCGCGTAGTCGACATAGCCACAGCAGTCATATATATAGCTCTACAATAGTCTACCCGCACAAGTGTACGAGCATAGCAGCAGCCATGTGCTATGGCCTGCTACAATCTATCCGTTTACTTTGGGAATCGCCCACGTCGCTTTGGTGTGCCTTGTGTTTTTCTACCGCCTTCTTTGTGCCAATAACCGAAAAGAAATTTGGTTTCACTCGCCTTACATAATAAATGGGACGAAAACACATAACACCCTCCCCCTGCTGCGGTTGTGGCATAGAAATATGTAGCCTGCTCGGTATCGTTGAACTTCGATTGTAGTAGCCGATGTGGACACAGCAGTCAATCCATCAGCAGCATGAGCAAGCTGGTGGTGAGGTGTAACACTACAACATTGACAGCATCAGTGTTGGATATTGCAGAGATCACACACACACCGAAAGCTTGTACCTTCCGCGCCGTATCAAGGGTCTATTCAAAATCGAACAGCCGTCGAAAGCACTTGCGGTCTACATCCTTTCGATATTATATTCCGATGGGATCCGATACGACACAGCAGTACTTCGGTTAATCTCTACCACTCAGCCGGCTTTGTCGATACATACCTCGAGTACAACTTTGAATTGAAAATGAAACGTCAAATGCACGCATTCGCCAGTATCCTCTCCCTACAGTACTCACCGACTTGTTCGCTGCGGGGACGACCAATACCTAGTCTACTGGAGATGGCCGACAGCTGCCTCTACGTGTTTGCACGTGAACCCAGAGCGCGTAACAATCTCGCCGTATGATACTGTCAGATTGGAGCAGACACACCCGACCCATTCACCATACCCACGGACAGATGAACCTTCTTGTTTTCCGTTCCTGGCCTCTCCTTTCCTACACACAGCCGACCCAACACCACCGCCGCCAAGGAGACCGCGTCGGCCGCGGCCGCCGCCGCCGGAAAGGGAGAGGGTATTAAGGCGTTTTTGCCGCACCACCTCTCCCCTCGCTGGAACGAGCGCCACGACATCTGCGTCTTCGGCACTCACCTTTGTCGGCTGTCTCTCAGCGAGGCGGCCGGGCACCTGTCGTTCGTTTGCTTGGGGATAGGCTTCTTGGAGACGGAGTTGCTGCCGCTGAGAGTCTACGCGGCCGCGGGTAAGCCAAAAAGGGGGGGCAGTGGGTCGAATGACGGTGGAAATTTGTAAACTCTGTGGTGCTGGCGTAGGAAACTGATGGTTGTCTTTAAACTGCTGCTCTTACTTTACTCTTACTTAACATAGTCTCGTTAGTCAGGTTCTTCCTGCTGCCGCTGTGTTGTTCATGTTTGTATTGCTGTTGTCGTTGTTCGTTGATGTTGCTGGTCACCTTTGCTCGTCTTGATCAACAAAGATCCGGTGGCATCTGGCACAAGTACTTGAGCCCTAAGATCGATCCCTTCCGTACCTCTCTCCCGACGTTCACCAGGCACTCACCAAATGACACCGAAGACAATTTTCCCGATGAGATGGAACTACAGAGACAAAAATATATTTCGAAACATACACAAATCACGTGCGGCGGTTTACTAAGAAACGTTCACCACAACGGTGCTACTGTCTCTTGTATGTTCGCAGGCGTGTCGGCATCAATCGTCTTCCAGTACTACAGACCGCAGCCGTTGTGGATACCCATATCTTGGAACTTTGTGTTTCTCGCCATCAACATCGGTATGGCGGGAGTCCTGCTCAAGGAGGAGCGCGACGCTACGCGGCAGGACCAAGAAACGGCTGCCCTCTACGACAAGGTGCTCCTCTCTACTATTCTATTGCTCCGATCGTATTATTCTTCTTGGTTCTCGGAGGGGGGGGCGTTGTTTGTCTATGGGAGATCACCGGGACTGGGATCGTTGCGTCCCCGGTATTTGAGAGCAACTGTCCCAAAGCAGCAAGCACTCGAACCTATTGGTTTCAAAAATCCGCCAAACCATCGAATACGAGGCAATCCAGTACTCAACGCACTGCATTGTTTTTTCTCTCTCCATCTCTTGCACGGCGTTGCTTACAGACGTTCGCCCGCTATCTTTTGATGTTGCCGGCCCGGCGTTGTTCGTAGTTTCCGTTCATACGAAGCACGTGTGTGGCTATAGCAAGTCTGGTCAGGAGCGGTGTGTCTTCACGTACGTACGCACGCACATCACATTCGACCTCGACCTGAGCTTGAGAACCTACAGAGCGTGAAGTGACTTCGCGTTTTTTTTTTTATGTTTGATGTTTCCAACGCGACCCCCAACCATGTCGACCTGGTTTCGTTGCTGTGTTGTGATGGTGGCGCCGTGCAGACGTTTCGTGAATCAGGACTAACCGCGGTGGACTTCATGAAGATCAGAGGCATCTCGGAGGACTGGAGGCATCCCGCAGGTGAGATCAAGATCAAGGGAACAAAATGGTTGCGTTGTGAGTTGGATTGGCAAAATCGTAGGCAGGCGTCTAACCTGTGCACACCGGTCGCCCCGGTGGTCTAGTGGGTAGCCTCGCAGCCTGCTAAGGGCCAGGTCATGGGTTCGAGTCCCGGCAGAGAGAGTTTTTTTCTCACTAAATAAATCCTGGTCTAGGATGAAAGCGACGCGCTGCAAAGCTCGTTTGTTAGTAAACCATAATCGACTTCGTAAGTCGCGAGGGAAGGGATTGCTGTACCCTTCTCGCGATAAAAATACCTCAGGCATGAACCGCAGGAGGGGGTCCAACCCCCNGGAGGGGGTCCAACCCCCCCCTCCTATGTGACCCCGGTTGGGTCGTCTAGCCAGTAGAAGTGGAGGATAGGGGCCAGAGGGGCAGACGGCAGAGTCCAATGATGGGAGAGAAACAAAAAAAAAAAAAAACACACACAACAACAGCAATGGAGCGTACGCGGACGAGGCGTTTTGCCTCTCTGTTGACGGCAGTGTGCTTGAGGGAAGGCAGGCGTAACCCTTTTCCATTAAAAAGATCCAGGCATGCACCACGAAGGAATTTTTATCTGTGACCCCCGATCGGACCGCTAGAGTGAACGAGGAAAGGATGGTCCTAAGTTGGGAGCGATGGTCACCGCAACATAAAATATTTGTTGTTGTAAAACAGAACAAACTGGCGTTTATTGTGAAACGGGGGGATTAAAAATACGACGACGGTTGCGCCGCGTCCGAGGCGTGTTGGTTCAAATATCATCCTTGTTCGGTTTTCTGGGGTCACAGAGGGGTGGGTCTCATACATGTGCATGTAGTAAATGAGATGACGAAAAATTTTGGGCAACTTTTGCCGTGCCGTGTTTTGAGCCACCCCAAGTCCCCACCCCTTGCTTCCTCTGCTCCCTCCTCCTTTCCCTTCCTATCCATCACTTCCGTGCTTGACCCCTCCTATCAATACCCTTCGTTGGTTCCCTAACCCTCTTCGGTTTCGTGTGAGCGAGCAGGTGATGTCCTGGCAGAACAAGACGTGACGCAGAAGAGGCTGTATCTCGTCATGGAGGGGGAGCTGCAGGTGTCCAAGGGCGGCAACGATATTGCCCCCGTTAAAGCGGGAGAATTCGCGGGAGAGGTGCGCGATGACCTTACCTGCTTGGTGGGCTTTTACATTTGTTGCGTTTCGTCGTGCGTTAGCCTGACTGGTTTTTCTCTTTTTTTTTCTGCGATGGCGAGGTCACTTCACGCACATCGACATCAAAGTTACTTCCGTGCATTCCATCCACCAACATTTTGTGCAAGATCCGATGCCTTGGCTGCACCCGTCGTTCCCCATGGCATCTCCAGTTGCCCTACATTTGTACTCGTTACCGGAATCATACCATGTACTGTATGGTTACGAAACCGCCATATCATCTCCCGCTGTATCATCTCACGTCGTACTTGAAAGGTCACGTGTAACACAATACAAAATTTACCGCACCTTGTCGTTTCCTGTGGTTCACATCATTCCACCACGAAATAAATAACCTTCCGAACAGCATTCGTACCACCACATCGATCGCCCAGATGAGCTTTCTTCGGCACGTTCGAAGGGAGTGCGAAGGATCGGCGGGGACCCCCGAAGTATGTGACTGTGTCGCTGTCGCCAATGTGAGCCCGTGGTTGGACCAGGACGTACAATATACACCCCATGAAGCAGGGACAATTGGAAAAGTAGGTGGGACTCGAAGTTCTTCTTCATCCTGTGAGTGTTAGACGTGGCATCCCGACAAAGCCAAGGCTGCCATGTTGTGTGTCTGTTTTTGGATGTTTTTAGTTTCTAGAAGGCAAGGTTTGGCTGCCGAGTCTTCCTGCAGTGGGGGACAGTAGTGGAGGTCTCGCGCCCGAAAGTTACTCCGAAGGTTGGTGGTCGTTGTTATTTTTCGGGGTTTCTTCTAGGCACGGGTAAAAAGTATTTCTTCAAACGGGTGTGGCTTTTAGAAAATTTAAAATCAAAGAGAGACTGCGTGTTGTGTGAAGATATTGAACAAGACAAAGTGAAAATTTTCCGGGGCGAGTGTTAACTTTTACTCGTCTCCGTGATTTTTATCCTTCGCTCCGACAATAAGCCTTAACCTTTGCTACGAAATATGACCACTTTTGCATACCATTCGTTTCTTGCTGGTTGCGATAATGTTAGGTGAAAGTGAAGCACGGTGGAGCCAAGGTGACGTCATGGCAGTTCGACGAGTTGAGAGACCTGCTGGCGCACAATCCTAACATGTCGGTCCGTTTCCACGCCGCCCTAGCCAGGGCGATGGTGTCCAAGCTGGTGGACACGCACAACCCCGCGGTCAAGTACCGGCAGTTGCTCACGGTGGGTTCAGCTTCGCCGTATCCTTTGGGGTACGGGTTTCGTTAGCTGTTTATTGCGTGCGGTCAGGGTCCCTCAATAGTGCGGTCCCGACTGGAGTGGGGACCCGATATAGTGGAAGTGTGGTCAAGCCTTTTCTTTCGCACACTGATTTTGCCAGCCGCTATACCGCGCTCTTGGGGGACCCTGGCGTTGGGCGTATTCTTCTATATTGTCGTCCACTTCATTCCCCCATGCTCCACGTCTGACGTCTACCTGCTACCGTATATGACACAAGATAACACACCCCCTGAACCAACTTTCAAATCTCGATTACTCCACGACGAAGAGGATGCATAAACGAAACGATACATTTTTTGGAAAGCTCTCGACGAGACGGTTCCAACGCCGTCGTTTTCGGCGCCGTGACTCTTTCTGCTGTCGAGAAATCGATATTTGAAAATCGGTCCAGGGGGTGTGTTATCTTGTGTCATAAATGGTAAGTCTTACGTGCCCCTCGGGTGTTTGCTTCTTGTGCTTTCTTGGACGGCGTCGATGGCATCGAGGCGCTCGTTGCACTTGTATGCTTGGGTAGTTCAAGTGTCTCTTCAAACGTCAAAATGTTCTCCTCTCCATGTGCATGCATGGCCGCCTTGTCGTCGTGATGGCTGCCGTTGTTATGTCGCGGGCAGGGGGTGCTCGTGGATGGCGTCGTGACAACGATGGAGAAGGACGAGCTCGAAAAGATGCGGCAAGACATGAGCGTGGACGAAGCCACACACACGGCAGAGCTCAAGGCTGCGGGTTGGAGTACCCAGGAGTTCGACCAAGGGTGAGAGAAGGACGTCGGGGTTTAGTATCATCCTGTTGCCGGCCTCCTTGATAGCTGTGGCGAAGTCGATGTGTATAGGAAGTTATTGCTGTGTGAATTGTACCTACCCCCATTTTTGACGTCTCCACGGCTTCAAACTCGTTCAGACAGACTTAATCTGGAACCTTACCATGTGACTTTGTACCCGTGCCTATGTTATTTCCATTGTTATTTCCATCGTGGGGTGCAAAACTCCGTGTCGCCGTCGCAACGCGTTGCGTGTCGGGCAGCTACCAAGACGATTTTTCGACTCGGACGTACGAAGCACTGGCGAAGGAAGTCCTGCGCGACGGCACCGTCAACGACAAGGGCAGAACAAAGCTTCGGATACACCGTCAAAACAACGGTGTAGACTCGCTACACCACATGCGCGTGCTGAAGAAACTGGGCTGGAGTCTCGACCAGTTGGAAGAGGGGACGACGGCAAGTCACCGTACCCCCCTCTCGACAACGGCGCCGGCCGGTACGCAGCCTTCAACGTGACGGAGGAAGAACTCGATCTCGAAAGGGTAGTCTCTCTATGAGGTCATCATGTTTGCTTTCTAAAAAGTAATCTGTTCCTCTGCAGGAAGTGAGGTCATTCACAAATCGAGGCAAAAGGTGAGTTTCTCGTTTTCTGTGTTATTTCAGAAGGCAACCTCGGCGTGTGTTATTTTCTCGGCACTCCCTGAAGTCTACCGGAAGAAACGGTGTTTGGGTACTCTCGGTAGAGGGCAGAAGGGGGGGGGGGGGGGGGGG